CTCAACTATCTTTATTAAATAATGTAAAATTTAATATATATATATAAAAGTGAAATGTTATGTTATTTTATTAAGTTAGTAAAGCCAACATACTTGAAAAAAGTGTAGTTGGCATAGAATTTTATAAGAATGTCATACCTTAAGCATACTTTAACTGAGCAACTGAAAAACCTGGAAAATTAGTTCAAAGAATAACCCTATGAAACAGAGGAAGACTATCATTTTGGCAACGGACAGAAAAATAGAGAAAGATCTTCATTTTGCTTCTGCACCTGTGCATCTGCCTTGTTATATATGTAGTTTTGTAATTATATAACTTTATTAAAGTTTAGAAAGATAAAACTAATAATAAACTAATATAAAGTAAAAAAGAAAAAGAAAAAAGAAAGGAAGTAAAGAGAAATCAAAAGCAAGAAAAGAAAAAAGTTAAAAGAAAAATAGAAAAGGAAAAAATACAAAGAAATGACTTCCTATATTCTTTACAGTAATTATAAATACAATTTCACCTCTTTAAACTTACACTACATCATGATACTCTTCCTTCTATAATTTCTAGGTCAAAGCCATAAATCTCAAGTTCATTTTTTTCATTGGCTGACTGACACTCAACATGTAGTCCTCAATATCTACATGGAAGGAAGAAAGCAATGGGGTATCACAAGGTTCTATTTTAGGCCCAATATTCTTCAAAATCTTCATAAATGATTTAAATGAGGGAATAGAAGGGGAACTCATCAAATTTGCAAATGACACCAAGCTGGCAGGAATAGCCAACACTCGAGATGATAGGCTCAAGATCCAGATGGATCTGGACAGAGTTGAACACTGGACCCTGTCCAACAAAATGAAATTCAGTGTAGAAAAAAGTAAGGTCTTAAACAAGAAAAACCAAATATACAGGTACAGATTAGGTGAAACCTGGCTCAATAGCATTCACGGCGAGAGGGATCTTGGAGGCCTACTGGACAATCAAATATGAGCCAGCAGTGTGCAGCAGCAGCAGCCAAAAAAGCCAAGGCGATCCTAGACGGCATTAACAGAGGGATAGAATCAAGATCATGTGAAGTACTACTATAGCTTTATGCTAAGACATGTGGAAAACTGCATCCAGTTTTGGTCACCAGAGAAGGACAACAAAGATGATTAGGAGCCTGGAGGCTGCAACATATGAAGAACAGTTGCAGGAATTGGATATGTCTAGTCTGGTGAAAAGGAAGACTGGGGTGACAATAATAGCAGTCTTCCAATATTTGGGGGCTACCACAAAGAAGAGAAGGGTCAATCTATTTTCCAAAGCACCAGAAAGCAAGACAAGAAACAATGGTGGGAAACTAATCAAGGAGAGAAGCAACCTAGAACTAAGGAGGAATTTACTAACAATGAGAATGATTAATCAGACTTGCCTTCAGCCATGGGTTCTCCATCACTGTATGGAATGGGACAACCAGCCACAGTTAACTCACCATGGCCAACTTGCCGTGGGACAATTCGCCATGGCCAACTTGCCATGGGACAACTAGCGACAGGACAATTTAACAATTCAGTTTAATTTTTTAAAATAAATATAAAATTATTTTACTTGATGTCATTCATATTTCATTTTATCATGATTACTCCACCGTTTGAGTCTCACAGGATTACCCACTCTGATTTAATGGTGGTGAAGGTTTTGTGGGGAACTTCAGCATGACTATGTTCGAGAGAGGAGAAGCCACATTTCCCCATGGAGAAGATGTGGAGAGTAAATGGAGGACCTCAGGCCCTACTTTGTCTTTCAGGTTAATGCCAATGGGGGCGTCCTGCTGAGCGAGATCGTGGGTTCTATCAAACTGAAGGTGTTCCTTTCTGGCATGCCGGAGCTCCGCCTGGGCCTCAACGACAGGGTCCTTTTTGAGCTCACAGGACGTAAGTACATCACACTGCAATGACGGATGCATTTGGGGAGGAGTAGACATTAGGCGAGTCTCAAATTTCAGTCTCATATCAATAATGTCTTTGCACTTTCACATCCATCTATGGAAGGTGGCAGATTGGTTATAAAGTTAGGAGAAAGAGCAAGTTTGCAAATTTGCTTTGAGAATGTCTATCAAAGTCCATACGTTTTGATTTAATTTCAATAGACTATGTGTTGTGGCTCGGCTGGAGCCTTTGGAGCTGCTCTCAGACTCTGACAGCGAGGGCCCCTATGAGTCAGGCCTGGAGGAGGCGGAGGGCCCTGGACAGGGGTCTGACTCCGAGCAGGGCTCAGAGAGACTAGTTGGTCCCCAGGTAACGACTGAGCCTGGGATCAGTGGGGAGGAGA